CAATACAAATGTGCATATATTAGATTTATGTTTTAAAACCGATTAATTCGGTATCATGTAATTGTTCATGTCTTTTTAGTCTGTTCTTACAAATGTAACCACAGTGAACAAACGTAGTCGTCACACAAAAGATTTCGAAGTCTGTTTTCATCACCTCAGCTTGAAATTATTGAAAAACCAAGAATGTCAGACAGTTTATTTCGTCTTAGTTTGAAACTTTTAAGTAGTAGACATCCACGATTTCACACGGAATCAAATCATCCAAGATCTCACGGCGGGAATGGTACTATCACGTCAGTGATTAGAAACCCATTAGTCTATATTTACAACTTTACTTATTGAATAACAATCTTGTGTTCCTTATTATTATTTGAACACATATATATTGGTACAGGAGTGCGCCAAATATATATGCGCCACACAAAACAATGAGAATTTAAGAAGAAAAAAAATGAGGAACATAAAAAAACAATAATGAAGAGATTGGTGTAAGGGAGTGTAGTAATAATCATAGTCATAATGGGGGAACGGAAAGGTACAACCAGAAAAAACTCTTTCAGTTAAGGAAGTTACAACCACTTTTTATGAGGAAAATAAAAGAAGGTTACAGCAGGATCACCACTGGCTTCTATTCTGAGCAATATCTGATAACGTCTCTATCTACTGTGTTGCACCATCTCTCGAACTCCGGCCAGGGAGTTGAGATGGACCAACAGAAGCCAGCCCTTTGCAGCTTTCTTTCATACCACGACACCATGTCATACACTGACCACCTCTCCGCTTTTTCCAACCAGTCCCAGCGTCGGCAAATAATGCACGACGTGGAATTCTCTGGGACGACATTCGTAGAACATGTCTAAGCCATAAAATGTCTAAGTCGAGGTTTCAAGATAGTGACACCAATTGCATTATCGTCGCTGTGCCCGAACACACGACGCCGAGCCTCTGCATTACTAACATGGTGTTGCCACTGGATGTCAGCAATCTTTCGGAGACAACGTTGATCGAACACAGAGAGTCATCTAACACCGTCAACTTGGAGAGGCCAGGTTTCCCAAGCATAGAGCAAAACTTCTCTCACCAACGCGTTGTAGATCCGACCTTTTGCAGCCAGACTAAAATCACGAAGGCGCCAAAGATGGCCGAGATTGGCATAATCCTCTCTGACTTTCACTATACGTGCGTTGATCTCATCACTCACATCACCACCAGCACTTGTGTAGCTACCTAGATACACGAACTTCTCGACTACTTCTATCTGCTCACCACTCAGGGTGAGTGCAGGATCAGGATCCTGTCAGTCATGTAAAAGTAGTTTGCACTTCGAAGGTGCAAAGCACCTACCGTACCTACGGACACTGATTGCCAACCGATTAAGTGCAGATTGTATTGCCTGGGTACCATCGCATGGTAAGACAATTTCATCCGCATACTCAAGGTTGAAAAGTCTTTCTTCAGGCAACAGATTCACACCGCTATTACCTACATCAATCTGAGCTGCTTCCAGAACGTCATTGAGGGCAAAGTTGAAGCGGAATGGTGAGATTGGGCAACCCTGTTTAACCTTATTACTTGAATGGAACAATGGAGAAAGGGGGTTGTGTGTTGTCACTCTGCCTGAGGTGTTAGTATATATGGCTTTTAGGATGTTAATAAACTTCTCAGGCACACCCTTCTTCAATAGACAATCCCAGAGAACAGTCCTGTCCAACGAATCGAAGGCAGCTTTAATGTCAAGAAACACTACGATTGTTGGCCTTTGATAAGTATGGCGGTGTTCTAACATTTGGTGGAGGGTGAAGATGTGATCAATACATCCTCGACCAGAACGAAGACCAGCCTGCTCCTCTTGAGTCAATCTTTCTCGAGTTTTGAACAACAACTATCGACTCATTCCATGATGCTGGAACACTTTCTAGCTCCCAGACCTTTGTAAACAACGTCGTAAATTCCTTAGTCAGAAATTCACCATTATCTTTAAAAAGAGCCAGAGGTAAGTCATCTGGGCCAGATGATTTGTAACCCTTCAAGAGTTGGAGTTCCTTGCGGACTTCCGCCTCATTTGGTGGATCAGTCGTCACCTGCCATGGGGGCCAGGACAGTCTGACCGATGCTGCCGGAGCAGCAGGCCAGTTGAACTGCCTTTCGAAAAATTCTGTTCATCGTCCAAGACGTCGATTGATGTTAGTGATTGACATCCCGTCATCCTCTCAGATTGTTTCGCTTACACCAGACGTCTTGCTGCCAGTGGCTCGGATGAGTTGGAAGAGCTTCCGGTAGTTACCAGATGCAGCTGCCGCTTCCAGCTCATTAGCACGCTCCGACCATCATGCTTCTCGGTCCTTACGCAAGCTTTGCTCAATTTCACTACGTAACAACCTTCATTTGTGATCAAACTCACGGTCATCCAGAGTAGACCGACGGGCTTCAATGAATTTTAAGGAGTCTGAAGAAGTCCAGTGCTTATAAGCGGGACGTTTCGCGAACCCACAACTGACTGTTCCCGCCATTTTCATGGCGTCATGCAATTGCAACCAACTTGCTGACATCAGTCCTTTGGTGGCGATCACTTCGTTGGCCACTGAAAAGTAAGGCAAGATTGGCGCAGACCAAGGCATGATCAGAGTCCAGATAGGTACTCCAAAAGGAGCGACAGTCTTGTACACAACCACGCCAGCGGTAGCTGATCGCGATGTGATCAATCTGAGTCCAGGCTTGAGATGCAGAGGGAGGACGTCAGGTGGCACATCGGCGATGACTGTGCGGGAAGTTAGTGCTAGCCAAAAACAGGTTGTGGTCTGTGCACAATCGCAGTAGACGGTCTCCGTTATCTGTCCTGCGACTGACAAGTCCCCATCGGCCACCTAAACGACTCTTCTGTGCCTAGACGCCCGACCTGAGCATTCAAGTCTCCGGCTAGTACTACAATATCTGTCGAACGCACTTTGTGGAGAAGAACAGATAACTGGTGGTAAAACTCATCCTTGATTGCATCCGGGCTGCAATCTGTCGGGGCATAGGCGGAGATGACGAAAAGACATCGTTTCTCACGCTGATTTCTCCTCACTTTGATGGAACTCTCTAATCTAACAGCACATAACCGACTGTTAATGAGAATCCAATCGATTAGTGCTGCCTCAGCTCTAGCGCTTAGTGCGACACTAACGCCAGCGAGACCAGACGAAGATGCCACAGGGTCCCCGGATAAGCGCACGTAAAACAAGCTTTTTGAAGCGACAGATGGAGAGCGAATTTGTAGTACTTCACCAGAGTCTTGAATACGGGTCTCGGATAGACAGCAAACATCAATATTAAGACTTTCCAAAAACATAGCGAGCGCTATCCGACCTGCATAAATGTGCGAACGTTGAAGGCAGCCAGTTTGAATGGTGCACGTGGTTTCAGAAAAACTGTTCAGTCCTCGTATTCGGTGGTAACATACAATTTTCAACCGGACAGTGACTCGAGAACGTTTAGATAGAGTCGAATTTTCACCATAGACGAGCTGCTGTATAAGTCGAAAAGAATAAGTATAGACGGAGTAGGAATAAAAGAGGGTGAATATTGATGTAGTAAATAATAATAATAATAATAATAATAATAATAATAATAATAATAATAATAGCAATAATAATATTTGAATCATTTGAATGTTCGTCGAAGCCAGAGAATTAGTTTCCATGATCATAGACAGTTCAGTTCATTAATTGTGTGTGGGCTGTGATACTGCCCGGGTGCCCAAACCGAAGCAGTTGGTTTTCTTAGGGGGCCACACCCCGAGCCTTTGACCTAAAGGTCTAACCCACAAGGCAGTGGAGCATCGTAAGGGGATGCAGTCCTATGGTGGCCGGTGACCGAAAATTGGTTCATACGCCATTTGTTCCCTCAGGATACTGGAGCCCATGCGCAACATCGATTTGGTTTGGGATCCGGTTAAAGCGCCGGACATTCTCTTTTCGTCCTCTCATTTTCGTAAATAACACCCCCGCCACGAGAAGGCAGTGAGTAGGACTTCCCTGGAAGAGGCTGTATACGCGTGGCCGTGTGAGAGTATTTCGAGAGGGAGCTCGAACCCATCCCGCTCTCGGCCATACCAGAGCATTTGGATTCCACGAAGATGTTGATATATGTATATCTATATATGTATATATTTGCATTCAATATAAAATAGGTAGCTTATTAAATATTGTATTTTTACTTTTGTATAAATTTGATATTTGACTGATGTTGCATTAAGATTTTTCTAAAACTATTCATTATCATACAATTTGTTTTTTTGATCTTAAATATGACATTTATGATAATGGTAGGATATTTCTGTTTTTTACATTATATGATAAAAATTCATCAGTATCATCCTTTTCATTGACATCTACTGAGTTAAAATACATCATAGATAAGCTATAAATATTATCAACTAAATAAATCATATTTAGTGGCATAGTTTTAATGATATTGTTTATTGTAGTAAATTATCAATCTATTTTTCTTAATTACCTATTAATATCTAAATTGTACGGGGAATCATTAAACTATTTACTTGTAAGATTATACAGGTAACTGTGTGACTTTTTCTATTTAGATATGATATTTATTTTTGAAGATATTTTATTTTTTAGAGGCATATTTAAATACTCGTAAAAACTGAATTATTTGTTACCGTATTGGGGTTTGTGTAATACACATAAGTATGGTTATTTTTAATCTTATACAATTTGCTAATCGAAGTCAGAGAATTCAGAAGAAAACTAAATTGAAATTCTTGAGTGAAATAACATTTTTCAATGATATATGATGATCTCGTTTCTGTATACAGCAAACTTCACTTAAAAATTGATAACCATATGACCGTAGAAAACCTGTACTAAAATTATAGTATTACTTATGATATGAGCGGTATAATTATTGTTTTGAATTATCATTAAACATGTTTAAAGTTTGTAAGCGTCACGTTTTGTTATTATAATATGTTTTCGATAAATTTCGCTTTAATTAAACAGGAAGCTGGGATTCCAATTGATTTAGTTGGTGGTACAAGTATTGGCTCTTTTATGGGTGCTTTATGGGCTGATGAAACTCGTGTTGCACAGTTTACTCAAAGAGCTAGAAATTTCACTAACTGTTTCAATTCTATATGGAAAAAAATAAAAGACTTCACTTATCCTGCAGTGTCGATTTTTTCTGGTAAGAACCTGAATTATATATATATATATATATATATATATATATATATATATATATATATATATATATAACAGTAATATTTACATGGATACTTATAAATATTAGGTCAATCAAGGCATTTTATGAGGTTGTTAGGCTTTTACTGTGTGCATCATGGATCGATCGCTATTGAAAAACAGGTATCATTGGACTGATGTTTCGTTCTAGTATAGGATTCTCTAGTAGTGCTCATCCCCGACCCAAACAGAGGTCGAACCTGGAGCCTTCGATCTCCTATCATCCATCGCTTTTTAATTTTTTAATAGTGGTCTAGCTAAAATCAGTTCGTGTTGTAAACTGTGCGAACAAAATTATTAGAAAAGTGATACTGCAGAGATGAAGAAAAAATAAGCTATGTGAAAATGTTTAAGGTTCTTTACTATGTCTTACTCGGCTAAACATGAGACAGGACTATTACCAATTCCTCTCTCATACAGAACTTAGGATTCTTATTCCTAATCCCTGTGATTTCTGCTATATTTGACAGGTGATATCGAATCACACTATTGAAACTTGAAAGTGTACGATAAATCTCTATGAATGCTTTGTTTTTGTCTTCACCTTGACCACTATAGACCATGTTAAATGGGACAGAGTTGTAAATTGTTTTTTTTTCATACCCTTTCTAAACCACAATTGAAGATTGTCTGGTCGTAAACATAACATAGTTTTGTCCCCAGAAGCAGCTGAATTCGTAAATGCGTACACATGTGGCAAAACCAAATAACTTCATTTGTGGAACCTTCATAGGTCAACCAGAAAGTGACAAATAGATGTTAACTGTATTGAAAACCGTTTTCACATCTCTAGCTATGTCTCCGTCGAATTTTAGCTTTATATTAGCAAAACGAAAGACAATTGATAAGCATTCATATCTATAATAATATAAATCCATTTGTGTTTATTATATATGACATTATTCTATTGCTTGCCTAACTAAATTTCTTATATTGGTGGTACACTTGTACTATTTCCTAAAATATGCTTACTGCGTGTACACAGTAGTTAAATAGCAGTTTTATTTTTTTTCATATTTATTTATTCTAATTATTTACATAAAATCAGTAAATAAAATTAACTGTGGTTTAAACTTCCTTAAGCTAAAATGTATATATGTAGGGATTACTTCGTTTATATAGAAAACTATATTCTTATCATACTAGTTGAATAATTATTTCGTATTATTGATAATTTTAATATAATGTGTTGCAGATTTTTTATTTTTTATTTATTTATTTGAACACATAAATATTGATATAAGGGGGCACCAGATATATATGCGCCACACAAAACAATGAGAAAGGGAAGAGAAAAAGAATATAAGGTGTGTATAAGAAAGAAAAAAACAATAACAACCACAGATTAGTATATGGTAATGCCATAATAATAATAATAATAATAATAATAATAATAGTAATGATGAGGGAAACGGAAAGGTACAACGAGAAAAAACTCTTTCAGTTAAGGAAGTTACAACCACTTTTTATGAGGAAAATAAAAGAAGGTTACAGCAGGATCACCACTGGCTTCTATTCTGAGCAATATCTGATAACGTCTCTATCTACTGTGTTGCACCATCTCTCGAACTCCAGCCAGGGAGTTGAGATGGACCAACAGAAGCCAGCCCTTTGCAGCTTTCTTTCATACCACGACACCATGTCATACACTGACCACCTCTCCGCTCTTACCAACCAGTCCCAGCGTCGGCAAATAATGCACGACGTGGAATTCTCTGGGACGACATTCGTAGAACATTTCTAAGCCACTGAAGTCGAGGTTTCAAGATAGTGACACCAATTGCATTATCGTCGCTGTGCCCGAACACACGACGCCGAGCCTCTGCATTACTAACATGGTGTTGCCACTGGATGTCAGCAATCTTTCGGAGACAACGTTGATCGAACACAGAGAGTCATCTAACACCGTCAACTTGGAGAGGCCAGGTTTCCCAAGCATAGAGCAAAACTTCTCTCACCAACGCGTTGTAGATCCGACCTTTTGCAGCCAGACTAAAATCACGAAGGCGCCAAAGATGGCCCAGATTGGCATAATCCTCTCTGACTTTCACTATACGTGCATTGATCTCATCACTCACATCACCACCAGCACTTGTGTAGCTACCTAGATACACGAACTTCTCGACTACTTCTATCTGCTCACCACTCAGGGTGAGTGCAGGATCAGGATCCTGTCAGTCTTGTAAAAGTAGTTTGCACTTCGAATGTGCAAAGCACCTACCGTACCTACGGACACTGATTACCAACTGATTAAGTCGGATTGCATGGCTTGGGCAGAGGATTGAGTATACGATTTTTATATGTTATTTTAAAGAATTAATTTTTATCCAATTTGTTAAATAAAGAATTTTATTCATTCAACGATTAAATTATGTTTGCAAAATATTTTGTTCATCAAGTATAAACTATTAATACAATATGTTAAAAGCGTAATATATTCCATACTATCTATAATCATAATGTTATCTATTGTCTTATATAATTAAGTGCAGAATGTTTCGATTTCTTTCCCTTTTTTATAACAATAGTTATTAATAAATAGTACTTTGATTTCATTTCATATTTAATCATTTTATACACTTAGTAAAATGTATTTGATTGGGAATAAATCAGTATATTAACCTGTATACTGTTGAAGAGAAAGCAGTTAAGTGGAATAAATTAATTCTATTCTGTAAATATTTCTGCTCTTGTTTTTTTGTGGAGAGAATCAATTGCTTGGTTTTGGGTATGTGTTTCATACGTTTAGTTACTTATCTATGTTAATAAATTACTCAATAACTGGAATATGAATAATTTTCGACAAGCATACAGGGCCTAGCGGCCAGTAATCTGCGATAAAATCATTATTTGCTTATTCTAGCCTTTGCCAACATTCTACACAGAATCCACACTAACATCGTAATATACGGGTTAAGAAGTTAGGTAGCACATGGTCCAAAAGCCAGTCGTATCCACGTACTTAAATTCTTTATTTATCTTAGTTGAAATTTTGGGTTGATTGCCATTCCATAATTTTCATTCTTCAGTTTTATTCGTCGATTTCGTCCTATAATGTTTAGATTTAGTTTTGCATTGTGATCGATTTCATTGTTTCTGCTCATTTACGTATAATCTTGTTAATATCTTGTGTTTATATATATATGTGTGTATTGTGCCTATACACTCTTTTACTCGATCTTACGTTACTTATGATCAAACAACTATTGAAAATCAGTTACATCTAATGAAATTAATTAATTAATTATCCTTATATGTTATTTTTCTATCTTGACTTTATTAGTGAATAGCTAGATCCGTAAAAGAGGAGATTTCTCTTATTATTTGCTATTTGTTTTATGTTATCGCTTGTGAAATATTGAACTGCCAGCCTTTTTTAAGAGTGAAAAGTGAATTTTCCTGGTTATTCTTGTAAGATATCAGCGTTTTGATACATCGTTACACTTAGTCGCTTTATGATTTGCTTTTCAATGTAGTTAGTATTTTAATCAAATTAGTATTGCTTATGTATATTAATTAAAGTAAATAATTTCAGTTAGACTGTTTATTAGTTACAAAATTAATGAAATATATTCATTGTTCCTTAGGCATCAATATATATTTTCCAAGTATTTTACTACTGAAGTATGTTTTCTACTTGATATTTTTGTGATCTTCATAATGTACATTGAATTCTTTGAAGTTGGGAATATAAATCATAGTATTTCACTTTAGTGGCCTAGAGGTATCACGTTCTCCAAGAGACCCAAATTTCTTGTGTATTTATTATTTTCAAACATTAATACTCTGTAATTTTATTTTAAATGAATTTTTTGGTGGAATATATACGTTCACTTGTATATTTCATGAATATAGCAAATTACAATCTTAACATTATTCAGTAAATTCTACAAAGTCAAAAGATCTCTTACCCTCAGAAATAGTTTAAAGAGGTCACCTGTATCGTTTACTTCTCTATTTATACGTTTATTGTCATTATTTTAATAGGTAAAGAACTTAATCGTCAACTTCAATCGACATTTCATGACCGTCAAATTGAAGATTTTTGGCTTCCTTTCTTTTGTGTAACAACAGATATAACAAATTGTAAAATGCGTATTCATACACAAGGTAAAAATAATTTATCACATAGTAGTGATTTGTTTTGGTTATTTTTACTATTCATGTAATAATGTTTGGAAGCCATCGTGATGTCGCAGTATTTTTTTTACTGACTGATTTTGAATAGAAATGTTTATGTGTATTTTCAAACTGTCTGGTATCTACGAATCTTCTTAATAAACAGCTGTTTGAAATAAGATATTCAAACTAATCGTATATTCTCGTTTAGTATCTTTAAGAAAAAGAAACTTACTTTTTCACTAAATGATGAATTCAGGGGCATAGGTTATCGTCCAATATGATTAGGGTTGGTATTTCTCATGATCAAGTTTATTTTGTATTCCATATAATTGGTTCCATTTTTGAATTTGAACAAAGTTAAAAAAAATAATTAAGGCTTAGCAAAGTGGATTCGTCATATTTTGTGGTCTCTCTTCAGTATAGTATAAATTAAAGTTATAGACAGTATTTATATCTAAAGATATTTCTAAACTTAAACGCACACTTTATAGATTGATCGAATGAACTACTTGTACTGGTACAATATATGCTTCTTAGTTAACTAGTTTAAAGAATCACAGAAAAATCATTCCAGTTTACTCAAAAACTGCTTAATTCACTGTATTAATTCATCTGTGACACTCTTTGTGTGGACATTAGTATCTGTTAATTTCTTGTTTCGTTTTATATAATCCTGTGTATAGAAGCTCACTAATTTATTAGAAATAACTGTACTTAATATAGTAATTGTTGTGTTGTCGGTTAGTATCTCATTATAATATCTCCTTTTACTGAGAGCGCTTATCACGTTCTGACCATATTTATTGTCATCTTATCTACTGAACTTATAATTTGACTTCTTTTCTAATAAGTTCAATAACTTGATATAATTATGGACATCATATCGGATTAAATATATGTGAAATAAAATCATATTTAATGAATATCACATAAATCAGTATATATGGTACAAATGGAAATATTTGATTTCCTTTGGACGTTTCATGAGATTCAATGAGCACTTGTGTTTATGTTTCTATGTTTAATTGGTCGTATTGGATTAATGAAATGTTGTTTTTATTATTATTTTAATTTCTACCTGTTGTTGAATTGCTTGTTTTAGAATTTCATAATTAGAATACTTGGATAAAGTAGATTCCTTAAACAGATTAAATTTTGAACAATAAAGCCTCCACTAAAGTGACATCTTTCAGCTTTACATTTACTTAGTAGGATATATCAGTAGTTATATTAAATATATTAGATTTCATAAATTTATTTTAGATGTATTTTCAATTTATTGTCCGATTAAAGACTTACCAGCTGTTCCATGTACAAATTTTATGATTTTCCATTTCTAAATTAAATTTGAATACTTTGTGGAAGTTGACTTGTTTTCTACCACTAGGGTGATCTTGAGATGGTGGAGAAGATTTGTAGCTCAGGTGGATGATTTTGGTGGAGTTTTGTTCTCTGAGCTGGATGGACCAAACCATCCAGCTCAGAGAACAAAACTCCACCAAAAACTAGGGTGATCATTCCTCTTTCTGTTCTATAAATAGCTCTATTTGTGGATCCACATTCGTAGGAGTTTTTCAAAAGTCGTTTTTGATACTATTTTGTAGTTCCTTTCAGGATTAGTTTCTATATTTATTATCCTACTATATTTTGTGTTTTATTCCATGTGATTTGATTTACCTGCTGCTCGTGGTCAATCGTAGACGTTATTAATTCACCTTTGATAAACTATGTAGATCGGTAGCTTATTTTCAAAAGAATAATAATGAATTTTTCATATCCTATTCATAACGACACTATTTAGGGTCTGTTTGGCGTTATATTCGTGGTGCTATAACATATCCACCATTGGACCCACCCATTTGTGATCCATATGATGGTGCCTTACTGGCTGACGGTAGTTTCTTGAACAATGTTCCAGGTAGTGTTGCTGTAAAACAATACCATCAAAATCTCAATTTATTTATCATAACATCAAAATCATTTCACTAATACATGGTGATTCACAAAGAGCGACATTATAATATGTAATTCAAATGAAATTTCTAATTCAGTAACAATAGATAGCATGCCCGTAAAAATGTAATCTGTTTATATTCACATATGCACAATAAATAGATGTCTAATAATTGAATCCGCTTACTAATCTTGCTATAAGAATATTGCTTTTTAACAGTGAATATCTATCTACTTATTTATGTTTATTGCCTAAAAATTAAATAGCTTTTTGTTTTTTTTTCATTTCTTCCAATTGATTTCAATTAAACATTTGATGTTTCGAATCATTTTCATGCTTATTCACATTTTTACTTATTCATTGATTTATTAATATCTATGTATGATGTGTCCGCATACACATGATTCGTACATACACATACATGTAGGATCGTCTTGGAGATATGTACGTGCAAGCATGTCATTATCTGGTTATTTGCCACCATTATGTGATCCTTACGATGGAAGTTTATTGTTGGATGGTGGGTATACTAACAATCTACCAGGTCAGTAATTTTTCATACAATCTAAGTAATATGTTCAGTTTTAGTCGTGATCTGTAAGTTTCAAATAAGAAAATTGTAATTTAACGGTGGTTATTATTTGATTGAATTTAAAATCCAAGTGTGTAAAACCAGTTAATAATAATAAATATTTATTCACTTTCCTTGAACAATTTTTTTCGTATCATATGTGATACTATCAGGAATCATAGGGTGGAACCCGAAATATCTTAAATTAAATGACAACTCATACGTTACATTTGTTTTCTATAAGAATCAATTCCTAAAACGTTCTTTTACTGTTTACTAGTGACTATTATTTTCAGTAAAATGGAAATACTTCCAAACGGATATCAAACTTTGTTGATACGCTTAGTTAGACTGGATCATATGGGAATTACCTGTAGGGATGTTCTTTCGGTAGCAAAAGAACAATCATATCCACACTATCAATCATCTTGTTCAAATATTTCCTTTAAGATAGATTTAGTAGTAGTAATATTAGTAGTCTAGTAAGTTGTTTATATATAGTTAATAAATTTGTTTTCTTTGCTTACAAAATCGTGGTGGATCTACGTCCATTTTTAGAATGATAGTAATATGACTTGGTGTATAGCGTATGTTTGTAATAACTGATTACTTTCATCAGTTTTGTTTAATATTTTTTCTGAAGTACTATATATGATTCAATAGCCACTACTCTAACAGACTTCAACATATTCAAGAAATGTATAATAATTCTATTTATAATCAGTAGTATCCTAATTTGAAGTAAGCCTAATGGTATCATGGGGTAACGACATGTTACATATTTTCACTATTTTACTTAGTAGACTACTAGTATCGTTCTGTTTATACCCATTTTTTTATTGGTAATTATTAACACCAAAACCCAACACATTAAATTTCGTAACTTATATGGCCTAGTTTTTTGGTGCATCTATTTTATGATAGATATTTGTTAATACATAAATAAATTTTCAGTTAATCTGTTTGGATGAACTTGTTTAGTTTTGGATTTAAACTTAGCAATTATGAATTATTCAGTGAATAAGATTATCATCCGCTTATGAATATAATTGCAAAAAGTGACAATTCAGAGAAGATTTTGTTTTCATATGACAAAAATATGGACTTTAATATCATCAGTCATTTAAGTTCACATTTGAAGCAGAGGTGAATTTAGAATTTCTTTTCCTTGGTATCTTATTGAGAAAAAGTCAGATAGTTCCTTATAATAGTCTATATACACTCTACTAACTTGGATAGTCAGTATATGAATTTGCAAAACTAAGTCTTGTTAAACAGAAAGAGAAACTTAATTCACTCTTTATCTTTGATGGCCGAGGTAATATGCTCCAATTACACAATAGCTGACAAACTATTTAAACTCCAACATACACTCATCATAAATGGGTACCCATCCAGATTCATGAAACTTTTAAGGTCTAAAAAGCGCTTGTTCGTTGAATTGTCTTTTTTTCTTCAATGACACAATTGTTTTGCTTCGCTAAATTTACAGAAAGTCCAAACAATATTCATCACTGGTTATCAATTTCGACAAATGATTTTTAAGAGTTTTCTGTATAAAGTTTTATTTGCATTTGGTATAGTCAATGTGTAGCACAAATAGGTTGTAGAAATATTTCTTTGAAGATATTCTGCACTTCCAAATTAGGTTCAATTACTTGGAACAATTTGGTGATCCCGTTCAGTAGTTAGTTAGTCACTAAACAAACCAACCAATGTTTGAGCAGACAATAAATTTGGATTGATTGAAGTTAGACATTAACACTGTTAGATCTCGGCTCAGTGGTTTAGAAGTCAGGCGTTCACCGGCTCTGGGTTCGATTCCCGCGTTCGGGGTTGTGGATGCTTACTGTTTAGGGGTCCCATACTGGACAAAACCGCCGTCCAGAGCTTCCATGTTTTCAGTAGTGACCTAACATTGATCGGTTTATGACTCTAAATAAGTTCATAAATGTTTGTAACATTAATGATACATTGTTTCACCTTTATTAACTTGCTTCATTTTCATTCAACATTTGTTTCGTTCTATAGTTTCTCTGATTTTACTTGGCATCCATATTTTATTTTGTCTAGTATCATTTAACTTTACCGTCATCATCATCATAATCATCATCTTGTGCTTTGATTTGTTAACATACTAATCAATGTTTGATTTAACGAATTCATTCCAATTGTTTAATGCCTATTTTATTGAATTCTATAGAGCAACATATATATATATATATATATATATATATATATATATATATATATATATATATATATATATATATATATATATATATAGGGTTTGCTTTGATTGAATAGACTAGAATACAGAATATTTAATTGCATGTATCATTAACCGGCATACTGGAGATATTTATTACTCTTGATATGGTTATGCATGATTTAGAGAATTATTTTTAGAAAATACCACTGTTTATTGGTGTACTACGACTTCAGAGTTCCATTTGCTAACATTTTCCTTGGTTAAGACCAATTCAGTTATTCGGACCGCTTTCGAATTACACATACCAATTATGTTTACTACTACCATACTTTTCTCTCTAGCAATATTGAATTGTAAACTGCTGAATGCATTATGTTTAACATTTAAGTAGTACAGAGTTAAGAATAGTGTTTATACTTTGTGTGTGGTAACAGTATTACCAGTTTTTTAACATTAGGTTTAATTTGATCGCTTATTTCGTTTTAAAAAAGTTCCATGTTCATTACTTATTTAATACCGTTTTGTTTTAATGAATTGTTTTGTTTCATTCAGCCGATGTAATGGTATGTTTCGGTGCGAAAACGATCTTTGCTAGTGATGTTGGTGCTGCTGTAGAGACAGAGCTTACAAATTATGGTGATCATTTATCTGGTTGGTATTTGTTATACAATCGATATTTCAGAATTGGCACTCCTGTACTACGTGTAAGTATCCAAATCAATCTTTTTTGAAAGCAATAAATATTTTATTCGTAAGATATTTTTTAAATTTGTCATTCGATGAATCGGAAGAAGAAATCACGTTTTGCAGTCGTGAAAGCCATTTATTGTTTTACACGTTTGCATATGTTTTAAATAGTACATATCCACTTATTAATCAACATCAGGTTACCAATTACCAGTGAGCTGTTATGTCCTAGTACTGATAGATTATAACTACTACTTGCGAAAATTAACGGTAACTTAAATTCAAAAATTACACAATGATGTATTGATATCATTGAAAGTTCTAGCCTAATCCACTTCTCGCTTGTATGGTCACTTTTGACTTGAAATTTTTTCTGAAGTAATTAGAAGTAAAATTTGATAAAACCCTGATGATTTTGTTTTCAGTAAATGTTTGAGTTTGCCGTTTATATGTAATCCTAGTAGTACTGATTTGGATTTTGAATCATACTTGGTGATATTTCAAGTCACTTAGTCATCTTATATTCTACATCCCATATACATAGTGATGTTGGATGAATAAATTGTTATTAAACTTAGCAATCTTTCATTTTAGAGCACTACGTCGTACAGTGACTATTTTTACAATCGTTGCCAAGGTCAGTGTACAGTGTTAAAAATATAAGTCTCAGAGACATCATTTGTCAGACATATTCAGTCACCAGTTCTTATTTAGTTATTGATGAAAATCAATTGTGTAGGTGACCACACGTTTGATCTCAGTGTTGTAACTAAATAAGTATGATACAGGATCCTCACTGGCTTCTATTTTGAGCCACATCTGATAGAGTCCCAAGCCACTATGTTGCATCATCTCTAAGGATCCAATCAGGTAGTTATGAAGGAGCAACAGAAGCCAATATTGTGCAGCTTTCTTTCATACCGCGACACCATGTCATACACAGACCACCTCCCCGCTTTTCCCAAACAGTCCCAGTGTCCTCGAATAACTTATTATGTGGAACTCTCTAGGAAGACATTCGGAGAACATGTCCAAGCCACCGAAGTCGAGGTTTCAAGATAGTGACACCAATTGAATTATCGTTGCTGTGGCCGAACATACGATGTCGAGCCTCTGCAATACTAACATGGTGTTGCCACTGGATGTCAGCAATCCTTCGGAGACAACGATGATCGTAACTATATTGTTCTCTGTTAGACTAATTATACAGTCGTAAGTCGTTTTATATACTTCTTCATTTGCACTTTAGTTTTTAGATAGCCTAATTGAAAAACATGATCTATCATGGCCATATCTGGATAATCTATCTTAAAAAATCTAATCATAAATTTTGACGTACTCCATATTTTGTTTTGTTTTTTTTTGTCCGTAGACTTTGAACTCTTGTCTAATCACGTCTATCTTTCGCCTTAATATAGTAGACAACACTCCCTGAAACTTTATATTCCCCGACCAGCTATTAGCCTTTCAGTATATCATTTCACTCCTTGTTTTTCTATGTCATATGCTATCTATTTTTACCGGTGTTTTGTACCAATATCATCCCATAGTTAAGATATTTAAAGTAATCCTACAAAATTCAACTACCCTTCTCTCTTCAGTGCTTTACTGTTTCATCCTAAGCATTGTCGAAATTATCTATTCCATTAATTTTTAACCATTTTGTTATCTTTGGATCATAATCTCCGATAACTTTAGTCTACATCCATTTAATTAGCATCAGATTAAAACATAGTATCGGCTGATCAGTACGGTCTACTAACTTCTGACTTCATCTGTCGTTTCAACGCAAAGTTATTTTATTCATTTCTGAATTAATTAGGTGATGAGGTCATCCGTCGAATGTACTAAATATGTAGCAAATCTTATTGGTTCATGTTTTTAATGGGTATCCATATCTTGGAATTAGTAATATGCATGTTAGATTGGTTTTTCTCAGTATGTCGCATGATCCTGACAAACCTCGTTCACATTGTGAAAAATAATGAATATGTGTTCTTTTATGTTATTAATAGTTAATATTTAGTGAATAAATCCAGTCTCTGTGTACTACCAATGACATGTTCATTTTGTTTATTAAAATAAAACTACTAGTACAAATTGAAAGATGTTTTTAAAACTTGAATGTGTATGTAAAGGGATAAACGTAAGATACATAGTTGTGATGTAAAAAGATTCAAATTAGTTTAATATACACTAGGTGGGTTGTAATAAGGTTCAAATTACTTATTACTAAACATTTCCCAAGCGTTGGTTAGTTGAATTCCATCTTTTCTATTCAGGCTGTACTGGTTAGCCTAAATGTACAGAGCTCTTTCTGTTAGTATGCAACACACATGTTTCTACCGACTTATCTCATCGATATAATTGAAGTGCAGTTGAATGGTTGTCATATAATCACATGTGTTTTCTGTGAGGACTATGTAAGCATAAACTCAAATACTTGAAGCAAAGCTTAATAAGGAATTAATTTATTCATTATACATCATAGAAATATATTCGATAGCGTATCAGTCGTGTAAAGAAAGTCAATAATTTGAAGGAAATCATTTTATATAAGATTAGTTTTAAATGGTAAATGCAGCTAGTGAAAACTCATTTGGCATAACTTAACTCAGTTGTATACTCATTCATTTTCAGTTTTACATTTTTATCTTTCTACCCTCATAACTTTCATTTCTTATGTATAACCTTCGAATCAGAAATTTTCTAAATATTCTTAACATTTTGTCCTGACACGCTATCTCAATCCCATTTTACCTGTATTTAATCTAACTGTTGTATATTCTTTCCTTCTACGATATTTTAGGTCTGTTTTAGTGTATTTTCTTCAGCCCGCTTATATTATACAAATTATTAAAAACACTAAACGTCAACATAACTGTTATCGCAAAATAAACTTCCTATTAATCACTTATTTATTCTATGACGTCCATTCCGATAGTGGAATCATGTCATAACTTGCGACTCTTGATCAGCTAGCTACCTAATGATATATATATACAGACAAATAGATGGTGTAGCGATGGGTTCACCCCTGGGTCCCATATTAGCAGACATCTTCCTTTCTAAACTAGAAAACGGCCCGCTAGCACAAGAGATCGATAAGTTTTCGTTTTCCTGTCGATATATGGATGATACATTTATCCTTTGCAACAACCAGACAGACTTCCTAGAAATATTCGATCGATTCAATACTGTTCACCCGTCCATAAAATTCACATGGGAGAAGAAAAATGAGGGTAGAATAACCTTTCTAGATGTTCTACTTACAAGGAGAAAGGACGGGTCGCTAAAAAGAAACATAAACAGGAAAATTACCTGGACGGGTAAACATACTAACTTTCTTAGTTTTGTTCCTCTATAACAAAAAAGGAACCTTATTAAGACACTACATTATAGAATCAAGACTATATGCACTGTGGATGCGATTGAAGATGAAACAAAGGCATTATTCAAAACCCTGAAGGAAAATGGATATCCTGAGAAATTTATAAATAAAAACATAGCCAATAAAAGACAGCGTGGAGAATGTCTAACGGTAAATAAAAAGCCTCTATATATACGCTTACAATTCAGAGGCGACACACCGAGCGAAATGCTAAGACCCAAGTTAAGCAGATCAATTCAAAGGACTTTTAATGCGGCTAAACTACAACTAGTATTCGTCACACGACCAATAATCATTCCAAGGTTGAAAGATAAATTACCTAGTCTAGCCAACTCCTTCTGTATTTATCAATTCAACTGCTCCTGTGGAGCAAGTTATATTGGCAGATGTTCTAGGAATTTGTACATTCGGGCTCGTGAGCACCTACCCGTGTGGTTAAGCAAAGGTGTTGTCAAAACTGTTAGCAGCTCCATCTTAGACCATCTAGTCCAAACAGGACATACAGCCAACATGGAGCAATCTTTTACAATAATCTATCGTGTTAACAGCAGTCTACCTAATTCCGTCAGACGGCGAATCCTATAGACGGCTGAAGCAATTGCTATTCAGATCAAAAAGCCAGAGCTTTGTATCCGAAAAAGTATGTTCAGCCACTCCTTTTACCCTGGCCAACTAGCTAATAATCAATCTTATAATGTGGTGACGTAATCTGATTAATGTTCATTTTATGTTCCAAACTTATTATTATTATTACTGTTACTATTATTATTATTATTATTATTATTATTATTATTATTATTATTATTATTATTATTATCTTTACACTTGATAATCTTTTTTGAGGAATTTATTCAATATCCACCCCTGAATCTACTATGCTTGACCTAATTCATATTATATTACATATTACGTAATTTCCGATTTGTGATCACAATATTCTCTCTCTCTCTTACCCCATGTTGACCATATTTATTTTGATAATTTATTTCACAATTTCATTTCGCTTATAAACTGATTCAAGTTAACACTTCATATTAGTCAGCCCCAACATTAACGATTTGATTTGATTTGATATAACAAACAATTTTGCCGTTGTTGTTATTGTTCAAACTGTAGATCCCAAGTCTAACAGAAATTCAGGCTCGTTTAGCTTATATTTCTTGTGTACGACAATTGGAATATATAAAGGCCAGTGGTATATGTTTTTATCTTCGACCACCGGTTGATAAGTATCTAACTCTTCAATTCTCTGCGTTTGATGAAATAGCTGTGAGTTATTTGCTTCTGTGTTATTATCACCATTATTATTATTATTATTATTATTATTATTATTATTATTATTATCATGAGTATTTAGTTGTGTGAATTTCGTATTAATGAACTTATATATATATATATATATATATATATATATATATATATATATATATATATATATATATATATATATATCATAAAGCATTTTATCATAACGGGGTTTTCTGGAGATTGTAGTACTTTAGTATTATCAGAAGCCGTGATCAGTGGAGTTCAATCGTGTCGGGTATGAGGCATTTACCCACCGAAGACAATGGAAGATGGTCGGGCAATATCGTGGATTGATTGAAGTTAAACATTAACACCGTTGGATACCGTCTCTGCAGTCTAGAGGTTAAGCGCTCGCGTGCGAGGCCGAGGGTCCTGGGTTCAAATCCGGCGAGCGGGATCGTGGATACGCACTTCTGAGAAGTCCCAGTACTCCCAGGTTTTCCATGGTGGTTAAGCTTCAGTCGACTCATGATCTCAACTATTGATATTAAATTATAAATTATTTATTTACATGTATGATATTCCTTTCTCATAGTGAGATTATGTCCTCATATGTGTTATCTTATTATCTCTGTTTGATGCTAAGAGGTGACTTTGATCTTCCAGAAATTTTAGAAAACACTAAATTCGGTCACAAAAATAGTCATTATCCAGTCAAATTGTAATACGTGATTCTTACTTATTCCAGATGCTACTAGGATTTTTCAGTATAAAATTTTAGTTTTGTTTAAATGTTCATTCCAAAGTGCTTTCTTTCATGTATCAATGTTAAAATATTTCTACTCCCAACTGATTCATCATAAAAAAAATAAATCTGTTGTTTACTATCACTGCGAGGTTTCAATATTTATCGTCAGGATCGTCCAGGCAATAAAAAAATGTGTGGCGGCGGTGTAGCTTCATTCGTAAATATGAAGTGGTATCGATCTACTTTTGTGTGTTTTAAGTTTTCAAACGACCTTTTTGACTGTGTAACTTTAAGATGCCGTCCAAAACACTTGATTAAATACAATCATGTTCATGTTACCAACATTCACGTGACTCTAGACTGCACATCATGTGCACCATATGTTTTCGCTAGTAAATTCACTAAATTCGCCGTTACTGCCTTTAGTGGTTCACTTTCAATTGTATGTAGTGATTTTAATTCGTGTGACTGTAGCTTCCTTTCGTCACTAGGTCACAAAAATGTAGCAGGTTTTCGCACTCGTTTAGCTGATCATTTAGACTTAGTTTTCATTAATTATGTGGAGATATAAGTGACCCGTAAACGTTCTTCGTTGTATAATTCGTGTTATACCTAAAGCATATGGCAAGCTTGGAAAAAACGCACTCTTACATCGGACAAAAAAAGTCAAATACAGAAATTTCTCAGGAGAAAATATCCCAAATCTAGAAACCAAGTTTTGTGCGGCTAACTGGGAATTATTTACAAATGAGTCACTGGAAAACACTACTGATATTATCACTTATTATCTGAAATTCTATTCTAATGTTTGTTGTCCTACTGAAAGCATCTTTGTAAGTTTTGATCGACTTACATCTCCACAACTAAAACGATTATGAAGGGTGAAAATATAATGTACAGGGAGGAAACTTCATGGAAGCTCGAAATATAAATGGTCTAATAAGTCTAAACATTAGACGTCTGAACCATTCGTTTACTCAAAAACTCCTATCCTGTCAAAACTCTTCAAGTTTGTGGAAACTATTTAAAGAGCTTGCAGGTGGAAGACACATTAGGGGTGATACTCAGCTGAATGTCTGTGACTAGATAAGTCTTTTGCCCTTCAGTCAACTGATGTCATGCTGCCGATATTCATAGTCTTGAAGAATGGTTGAGTTCCGATTTCCATTGAAACTGATGCCAGAAAACGTCCACCGTCATTCAACTCATCGCAATGTTTATGGCCTGATGAAATCCTTAACCTGCGTTTTGGAAAGTGTGCTGACGTCCTATATCACCGACTCACGAGCATCTTTAAGAAATCCTTCTCGACTTATGTCATACCGAAAATGTTAGTACGATCGAACAAGATAAATGGTGGCCTTCTTGAATATCTGGGCTACCTCTCTAGATATTTCAGCAAGTTATTTGTTTTTGCTTGTTTTAGCACATCATTATGTTTCTTAATCGCACAACCCATTAAGGCGCACTTATGAAAAATTTACAACCTTCCGCTGTACGAGTTACAAAAAAGCCCAACCAGAGACATCATGGTTGCTGAAAATATGCAGCGGATAGAATTAACATTATTTAGATGTCTCACACTTAATCCGTCTAAATATCAAACTGTTAACTTTAGCCTGGAACATGAACAGCACTTAAACACCCTTTTGGAATCCCATAAAACTTGTACTGTTGCAGATTCCTTAATAAATACAATGTCGAAGGTCATCTATCTTGGTATAAGTTTTCCCTTTTATCTCTCTTGGTCTTCTCATGTTTTATTGCTATTGGAGTGATTTTTTCGTCTGACTTATTACATAAAGAGGCTACATGCTTTTGTCATTACTCGATATTTACTCTTTCCATATGTTAACTATTGCATGTTACCTATTATTCTTTACTGTTCTGCATTATTCTGTCTCAGGCTTTGAGAAAACACTTTGCTATATTGAAGAGTGCTGACGATAGTTAGCAGGGTGTATAACAAATATTTCAAAGTCATTAATTATATGGTTGTGGATGGACATCTAATGTACAAACTTCTGACAGATGTTGTCTTATCAGAAACTAACTATTCACTTCATTCATATCTTTCTCCTTGTATATCTTCTGGTAGAATGAGACGTCAATACATTAGAATACACTCACGTAAACGAAGGTATAAAGCTCTACAATACCTTATCTAGCAAATATACTGTGTGATGAACAGGTTGTTAAGGGTGACCTAGTCAGTAAATTGTATTCTTAATTAATTGAAAAAGTTGTAGAGATCCAAATTTTAGAAAAAACATTTCTTTTGATTCCGGGTAGTTTATTTATTGAATGTATGTATTTATAATTATACATTTATCGGTTTTTTCTTTTGTTTTTCATAAGAAATTTATCAAAATACCTTGTGCTGATAAGTCTATATTGTACCAAAAATATAATACTGAATAGTCATTAATAATTATATTACTAATAAATTAGTGATTGAATTTAAAGTTTTACGATAATTAAAAGACTACATACAGTTGAAACAAGTAGAACTTTTCAGTAAAGTTTTTCTATCAGGTGATGTAACACATTTGAACTCTACTACTACTATTACTACTACTATAAAATTACAAGAAAGAATCAAATCTTTAAAAAAATATTATTTAACTAGCTTATTTTTCTTATAGAATGTTGGCTATGATTACATTAAATATATACTTAATACTTGGCACGAAGAAGGTCGTTTACAAAATCTCATACCAGGTGTGAAACTACATATTTCCTCTTTGACTGAAATATCTACATGTGAGATAGATCCGTCAACTACTCAGTTAACTCCAGTTCATTCAACAGCAACTCATAACTGGTTAACTCAGGTTAGTAAAATGTGATATATTCTTTTATGTTGGTTCTATATTTCTACTAATAATTCACTTATACATTAAAATACTGGATCTTTAGCATATATATGCATTATTTTATAGCAAAGTTGTCAAAATCTTTTTTTAAATTACATAAATCAAGGGATATAATGTGATTTATATCGGAAAAAAGACCGACTTTTGTACATTATCATATCGTTTGTTATTGTTCAAAATGTATTTTATATGCCAGAATATAAATTAAAATCTTATCGTATATGACTTAATTAAATTACTATTTGAAATCATTATACATCAATTATTATTCTCATATAGTATACTTTGCTTTAATAAATATTTTAATATGAAACGCAATACACAATCATATACATCATGACAGATGAACCAAACTATTCTATCAAAAGAATCCTTCGAAAATATTGGTAATAGTACCGTCATGTGTTCAGATTAATTTGATAGGTTTGATTAAAATAGTTGTAACATAATTTAACATGTTTTTTAATTATTTCTACAATTTTGTAGTAAAGTGTTTTTAGTTGGTTAGTATATTATCTTCATTGGCTCATTTATAGAAAACTGATTTTTAGAAGAATTCTCGAAACAAAAAGGTTATAACTTTATTTTTCTGTAAATCCATACTGAACAGTCGAGTAGATCATAGTAGAAATCTATCGGCTATCAATTAAATTAATGGTGATATTTACAGTGGAGTTATACATTCTGTTATACAAATACGATTTTTTGCTATTGACTAGTTTTATAGATTGATTGTCTTTTTTTATGAATAGAATATCTCTAAAGCTGTGTATAGTTACTCCTACTAACTGATACAATATGTAGATATGGTAACTATACAACTTTACAGACTTGCAATTTTGGAAACATTATCTTAATCTGTATGTGTGTATATGTAACATCATCTCGAAAAATTGAATTAACAATAACAGGAAGTCTCGTTGTTTCCTACTGGTTTCTTTTTCTCCCTTGTTCATCAATGAATGGGACTGATTAGTCTTAATAATGAATCGTCTCAGTCCATAGTAGGAAAATCGAGACGTTTCTTGTGATATACACTGGCAAATCAGATTGATTATACATACTCCACAATCCCTAAATTTATAAACAAAGGGAAAAAAGACGAATAACTTACAGGTCTAATAAATGAGTATATCTTTCCAAGTTCTTTTGTGTTAACTTTCAAAAAGCTTGTTACATAGCAAAATCTTTTTCTGTACGTTACGTTTAACAAATATTACTTCATAATTCCCAAAGTATTTCAATTGTATGATAATTTTGTTAGTTTTTGTCTGGTTCAGAAATAAATATTAATGATCCTCAAAGATGTCCGACCTCACAATTCCTTAAATATTTTCGAAATTAGTTGGTAAATGTAGCATGTTTAATTTTTGAAGATTTAGTACTGTACTGATGTATTTCCTGTTTAAGTTTAAGAAAACGAATAACATTTCTTTGGAGTAGAACAATGAAGTGTTCTAACCACTTAGTCTGATATACAAAATTACACTTTCCTTACGACAAACGCAAACTTTTTGTTCTATTGCTCAAATTCTGTTTGTTTTGTATATACTTTAACAAACTCATGTTCTCGCTTATACGGTAAGTTGGACACTTTTTCGTTTTATAAGAATTTCGTCAAGATTAGAACGAATAGTTTGACAGAAATTAGGCGCCGAGTATGGCGAAATCATTATATGTGAAAATTATATTTGAAATAATCTCAGAGATTGAAATTTAAATAATTCCAACGTTTCGTCCAGCTATATATTCCTTTGATGATTTTAATTATTACCCTGAAGAAGTCCAGACATGTTAGCTGGACAAAACGTTGAAATTATTTAAATTTCAATCGCTGAGATTTGTTTCAAATATAATTTTCACTTTTTCGTTTTGTTTTTTATCTATATGTGTCGCTGATATGCTTAGCAGTTTAAGCGGTTACATTATTATTGCAAGTCTAATAACTTACGTTGACTATTAAAAACACTGATAATAGGGTTTTTAAGTGAGAATAATCCGTTAATTATCTTAATGAATCATACAGTGGATTAAAATAAGATTCTTTTGTGACCATTGATAGATTTTTGTTTTTTCCTCTATCTAATTGATATATATATATATATATATATATCCTTGTTCTTTTCTTACAGAGTTTTAGTGATCAGCCCACATTCATTGATCTAGCTGAATGTGTAGCTAAAACATCCAAAGGTGTGAATTCTTCAGGTAGGTGTTTTTTCTCTGCTAATTTATGTTTCATAACGTTTCTTATGGAAAAACAGTGGTAGGTTCTTGAAAAGTATTATTAATTTTACATTAATAAGGGTAATAATGGTTATTAGTTTGTGCAAGTTCCGAAAACGAATGATTAATAGATTACTCAGAATTTATGGGTAAAGTTATTATCGTATGTTATCAAATCACGACCAAGTAATAATAACGAAGGATTGCTTCAATTAGCTAGTTACTGTAGTTGAGTGCTTTAAAATATTATGCGTATAAATCTGAATTGATCGTCTAGATCATGAATGTAACCGGTTTATATAACATTGTACAAAATTATTTTTCACATATATTTTACGTGTTTGTGTATGAATTCATTGGCCCTGTTATGTATGTAATCAGCGAATTGTCGAATCCTTGAGAATAAGGGATACAATGGACTGGTTTGAAGGTTACATTTACGTAAACTCAGTATCCAGTACCAACTTGATAATCAACGATGTAACACAGTACTTGATACAATAGAAAGAGTCACAGCATTATTAGTTATTTACTGTGTCCACTAATATTGATGATCAAATGTTTTCCTAATAACTCACAGTCAAACTACCTTGTTTTGATACTCTACATGTAAAAGACAACTTCGATTTCCTCAATATTGACTCAGTCAGTTAGCTGATAGTTCTATCTTCATTTTTTGAGTGAATTATGCATTTGCACAAATTATTCACATGTTGGTTCTATCATTATAACAGTGTTGACGTATGACTTACGATATACTAGTCCATCTGTCTGTGGAGAAATTACTCAGTAAGGTAGAAAACTGATCAATAAAGGGATTACATCCATTCTGAATATATTAGAGATTCGAGCTCACATGGTCATTGTACAGATATATATTTATACTACTTCATTAATGAACACTATGTAGTGAATATTGTCTTTCACAATGTTTAAGATCGATTTGGTTAGCAAATATGCAACCTCAACATATCGATAATGAAAGGACGATAAGGCTCGCTGTTTTGTATATAGGTATGAGGCCAGTATGGTTTGTAAACTGATTATGTAGCTGTCAAATTAAAGGGGATTTAAGCTGTCAGATCTATTATACTTGAAATTATTTCTATTCTTTGTTGTATCTGATAGTTATATCAGACACTTGGAGTACTATATTTTTATATTTACTTACTTGCAAGCTGTTGTCTAACACATAAACCGTCTCAGATTTATTATAAACTACTTCCCTTTTCCTTCTTTTTTATCACTCATGGCCACGCGTATACAGCCACTGCCAGGAATGTCCCACTCACTGCCTCCCCGCGGCGGTATTGTTCACGAAATTGAAAAGACTAAAGGGAATGTCCGGGGAGTTGAAAAACTCTGGTTCTAATCCAATGGTGCACATGATCTCCTGGCGTATGAACCAATCGTTGGTTGCCGGTTACCATGGGACTTCATCTCCTGATGTTGCTCCACTGCCCTTGTGAATCAGACCTTTAGGTCTAAGGTTCGAGGTGTGGCCTAACAAAACTGCCTGCTTCGGTCTGAACACCCGGGCAGCCCACAGACAAATCAAGTGACTTCTGTGGCCCCTTTGTACCAATATTTATGTGTTTGAATAAGTGAATAAACACTGAGTTAGAGGTTGCTTGAGGAATGATAGGCGTTAAAGTCTAGATCATCGATCCTACACACCAAATATAGGTGTACCTGTTATTAATAATAGATAGTCTGATCACGCTGACCCCAGTATAATCCAAAAATTGTTTTCTGAAGATGCAACAGTAATTCTCTAGGGTGTACAGTTTACCTTATTATATGTAACCCAACCTGTAAATCACAGTATTTACTAATGTATAGAATACTATTCATTTGGATATTTGTTTTCAAATAAAGTGTTATGGCTCAAGCAGACAGGCGATTATATGACAGTGACTTATCGATCGGATCAAGGATTCAGAATCTCGATAGACTATTCTGGTCCGTTGTCCCCAACTCTGCTAACTCGATCAAGAAGTCTGTGTAAGGTGTAGAAAGTGTATTCTACAAACAACAGCAGATAACAAGTCAGGCAGGCAGATCAGATCAAGCATACAAGTCAAGCGTATTTATACAATTATTTACAATCGATAGAAAATTTTTAAACATTAATCAATGAGTTCATTAATTGACCTATTTGCGCATGTAATCGATAGTTCATCAATTGACTGCTATTCAAACATTTAATCGATTAGTTCACCAATTGACCCCAATAAAAATATCTAACATTTAATCAATAAGATGATCGATAAGATAAATTTTAAAATATGAGTTTGGGGATCTATCGTCCCCAACACTCCTCCCCTTTTTAGAAGATCCGGAGTTGATATCCGGATTTTAAGTTTTCCAGGTCCATCCTCCCCCACGAAACAGTGTTGGATCCTCATATGCCCACGTTATAATTAACTTGAATTTATTTAAGACATATTTATCGCACTGAACAGAGAATTGACTGAAAGTGACTAAGTCTTGAGGCTGAACGACACTTGATATGAGGTGTTCGAAGTTTAATTCTTCTGAAATATTGTGACCAAATTTATTTGGAATCTTATTTGTAGATAATCGATCATCAAGGTAATTAGCATCTATCAAAATTGTATTAAGTTTTTGATCATCATTTGATGCATCTGACATATTTTCTGGTAAAAGAGAATCTTGATAATAAGATTTGTCAAAAACATCTGTCGCAGACTGATGAGAACCATTTGAAGAAGTTGTATTCAGTGTACTGCTCGATTTGTTTTCTGTTTCATGGGTGGTTATTGCGACAATTCTATGAGCATTTGCCAGGGAGTGTGTTTGTGAGCTGGATAAGTCACCGTCTGCACATGCTGTTTTGGGGATAATAGAGTTTGAGTCCATTACCGGGCATGTTTCTGGAATGGAGAGGACTGGACCACTGGGCGCATCATGGATGACTGCCGTTCCGTTTGAAGTACAGTTAATCGAGGATTCATGGAGGCTGCTGTCATTTTCCAGCTCACTGTGTAACTCAGATATCAATCCATCCACTTCCGTCGCATCTTCATAGCATGACTGACTTAGCAGCTGCGTGCGGAACTTGACTAATAACTCCAAATGTCGTTCAAAGAGCAGCTGCAATCGATCGGAAGGGAGTGTCATTTTTTTGGATCAGCACCAGCAATGAAGATTACTGTATGAATAATGACCAATGTCGTTCAGGGACACTGATGACAAACTGGATACTGATTGATTGAATAATTAGACTGGATTTTGTCCAATTACAGAATGACTTTGGATTGTATTTTTTTTACCCCGTCGCCAATTGTTATGGCTCAAAGGGACAGCCGGTTATATGACAGTGACTTATCGATCGGATCAAGGATTCAGAATCTCGATAGACTATTCTGGTCCGTTGTCCCCAACTCTGCTAACTCGATCAAGAAGTCTGTGTAAGGTGTAGAAAGTGTATTCTACAGACAACAGCAGATAACAAGTCAGGCAGGCAGATCAGATCAAGCATACAAGTCAAGCGTATTTATACAATTATTTACAATCGATAGAAAATTTTTAAACAATAATCAATGAGTTCATTAATTGACCTATTTGCGCATGTAATCGATAGTTCATCAATTGACTGCTATTCAAACATTTAATCGATTAGTTCACCAATTGACCCCAATAAAAATATCTAACATTTAATCAATAAGATGATCGATAAGATAAATTTTAAAATATGAGTTTGGGGATCTATCGTCCCCAACATAAAGTGTATCAGTTTTCGCTCTCATTAACAAGAGAACTTATGAACAATGTACGACATGACATAAGTGTGTAACATAATATTGTAATTTGCATCGCCACTCAGGGAAAGACAAAAGATAGTCATTATGCCAACTGCAGAAGAAAAGGATGCCTTAGGTAGTTTTTAGGTTGTCTACCGTTCTTTATAAATGAGATATTGACTTACAATCAGACGGTGTTATTAAAAAAATAACGGTTTAGTTTGTTTCACAGGTCCAGCGGAAAATCTACGACCAGAATAACGATTATATATAGGTATAATTCGGCTAATAAATACAATATTTAACCCTTTGAAAATTTATAAAACACGCGTTTGCATATCTGGTACTTAAAGTAATCAAAAGAAGACTTTTACAGTTACTATACATAGTATTTGGTTTTTTGGTTCTAGTAGTAAAAGCTTTGAACTTAATTAACAACACACCATTTGTTTTTTTTTTAAAAACAGGTTCTGATAAGTACCATAGAGCAGATGGTACCAATGTACAAAATTTCCCTCAATTACCTGATATAGCTAGTAAAATTACTGTAACTGATATTCCTACCTATACCGATCCTACTGTTTCCAGTGGTAGCAGTATAACTGCTGTAAGGAAATTTCCGAAATCTACACACACTGTTGTTTCAGATTCAACATCACGATATTTTGATACTGATCACTGTTTACAGTCTGGATCCAGTTCGAAAATTTCATCTTCAAATGAACAACATCGCAAGGAAGAACAAAAGCATATTTTCGACTTTTTGAAGAATAATCTGTCTTCCAAGAGTAGACGACGTTTTCTAAGTGATTGTTACGATTCATCTTTAAATGTCGGTAGCAGTTATTCATACCGAAATTCAGACGTCTTATGTAATGTAAATCGTGCTCCAATCCTAAACAATTTGATTATAAGTGGTGTCTACCCTAATCATTTACGGAAATATAAATCTGATTATGGTCTACAAGCGTATGACAACAGTCAAACAGGGAATTTAATGATGAATAGTGATCTCGACCCAGTAGTTAATGCATCTGAAAAATCTGCACACGTTACTAAATACAGTCTGTCTTCCTTTAGATCTTTGGAAGATGATGGTTATTTAGAAGATGATGAAAGTTCCACAGACTGTGCACATTCTCCAGTTACAGCATCTGATCCCGAATTAAGACATGATGTTTACCCCGAATCCAGTAATGCAGAAGACAGGGTTTTGCGCCAGAGATCATCTTCTATCTATGGACTTCCACATTATTTGTTACATACAGAAGTGTCAAACAAGAGATGTGATTCACCGAATTCTGATAATAATGTGAAAAATCCATCCATCATAAAAGGTCAACAAGGAAGTAATGATGCGAATGTGTTTATGAACAACCCATTGCTTAAGTTAGATATGACATCTGTACGTAATCGGACGAAGCCAAATCGCAAAAGACATCACCGTTCATCATTAGATCGAGTAAGACATTGAGATTTGTTCAATGCTCATGTACCTTTAATTTCTCAGTATACTTTCGTATTTTATTGCTATTTGACGATTATGCTTGGGTTTCGCGTTGTCTGAAAAGATGAGCAGTAGCGTAAGGATTAAGGCGCTTTGCTTTCAGCTGCTTACGCGCAGGTTCCAACCTACTTTTATCTGGTCAGTCAAGTTAGTTTCATCAGCTATTTTCCTGCCTCCAGAAATTGACAGGTAAAAATAAAACTATCGACAAATTAAGCATCCTAAATACTAGTGCTAAGTTTTGTGCTTCCATTATTGGACTGTCTTATTCCTTATGGATGACTAGACTATCATCAGTCTAATTGTATTCTGCATTAATTCTGGACAAAGATTTGTAGTCTATTAAGTATTTATATTACATCTACATTTACTACGGGATGTATATATTTATTTGGTGCCGTGCATAACTACCGTCTTAGGTGTGGCTTAGTGTTATAATCTACAAAGTTGTTTCCAAATATCGGGGTTCTAGCCTTTAAACCATATATCTCGTATCTAGAGATCAATTTAAAACCATTTATAATAAAAATTCCTGAAATGTTTTCTTTTGATTTCATAGTTACGGACTGATCGTGATCGAGGGGCAGCAAACTCGCTTGTTAACCTGCCATAATGACAAGTTAAATGATTACATTGAATTGATAAATAATATGTGCTTTTGTATGTACATATTCGTAAAATTGTGATATTTCATTTATCAATTACGTCTACGTATATGAAGACATGTTTGCTTTTATATTTTATTTCTTCTTACTTACAAATACTCACTCACTCATTCACTTTCATCCTAAAACAAGGAGATTCTTTAAGCTAATATACATATATATTTCATAAGTAAAGAGCAAATTAACTTCACATTTTCCCACGTGATAAATATTTGAAAACAGATGTTATATTTCATGTTTACTATATACATTACCTACAACGATTTCATTTTGAGTGTTCTTTTCTTCTACATTTAGCTCATGTATGGTATAACTGAGTTTACTTGAATGCTGTATGTGTTTAAATTGTATATCAACCTGTAACAATCGAAACGCCATTTTTATTGATGTGACTGTTTATGTTTAGGCTAATGTGAAGGGCGACTGAAATGCTTTTACAAAAATAAAGGCTGAACTAAGCGAATAGGAGTATGTGAGTTACACTAATCTGTGAAGTAAAATGAAATCAATATTATCAGGGTAGGTTTATTGTCACTACTGATTATTTTTTAACACACAGGAGGGTTTGAATTTCCGTGTTGTTAAGATTGCAGCAAATCTAATCATTAGTTCTGGATCATTTTCATGAAACATCACAAAGTTAATTTAAGACTAATCCTACGACCTGCTTTAACTATATGTTTGACACTACAGATTGCTGTTTACTCTCCGATCCTACTAAATTATCCCATTTCATATAAACCTAAATCTAATTAGTATCAGAAGGTTAAAATGCTTCAAACACAGGTTATTTCTCATTTAATACTTACTGATAGATAAGGAACAATTATGCTCTTGTTTGGGTGTAATGTCATAAACAGTAGATGGTCCTACTGTTTCTAATGTTTTTCAGAGACTTTATAAACCTTTTCACCATAATTTTGAAGAAAAAAGGCTTGTTCAATGTAACACATGTTTAAGGAGATTTTCAAGTACACTGCTCAGTAATTTCTGTTTCTATGGGTTTTTCCAAAATACACGTGTCTATTTTCCTCTTTTTACGTAAATTTTCGATTTTCTCATCCACAGTAAGTTCCACATGTCTTGTAGATAGCTTCTTAATTACAGTTTTCTTATTAGACAGTTCTAAAGTGCTAATAAATTTAGCCTCTGGAGATATTTCATCCAAATGATGATTGATTAGTGAGCTATTTGGGATGGTACCTGTAACAAGAAATATATTGGATCTAGTTATATATTGATAAAATCAAGTTAATAACAAATTTGTGTGAAAAAAAGCGATACTGTCTTCGTACTTAATTTCAGGTTACCAGAGAGAGAAGTTTTGATAATTAGTCCTGTAGTTGGAAGGAGAATGCTCAGATTCGGGAGCGCAATATATACAAACAATGGCGAATACACTTGTACTCGTAACTAACTATCGACTCTTTGGTCGTTGTACTTTTTATATCGAACACCTGCAAAGCATTATGTTATGCATGAATGACTACTTGAATTCATACAAAGCCCTCATTAAGAATCCTAGTAAGCTAATTAAAAGAGCGGGAATCCATATAGTTATGGAACACAATGATAGGCAAACATACTTTCAACATAATTCAACATTCTTCTGACAATAGCTGATCTGGAAATAATTTGGATAAAAATCGTTTAAAGAAAAGTACAATATTTCTACCGGATTCCGTATTCTGACCACAATTTCTGATAATGTTTGACCAAATCTAGTTGAGCAGCTAGAAATTTTATTGTAGAGTGAAGTGATTATCCACATACCTTCACTTGTTTCCCAATTTAAACAAGATTCTGGGTAGGTACCATCAATAAATAACAACGGGAAATCTTTAGGAGATATGTATTACTGTTCACAGACTTACCAGCTGCAAGGTGATAATGAGGTTTAGCGGGAGTCTTACTCAAATCCAACATGTCATCAACAACCTTTAATATAAAATGAAATCAATGTTTTTTAAAATACCTAATCTATAAGTAGAAAAAATAAATGTTAACTAAACATAACGAAAAGTTATTGCCAAGTAGTGTAGAATATGTTCTTTTAAGGATTACAGCTATATGCATACTGTTTTATGCATGATGCCTCTTTTGAAGTGTAAAAACAACTAATCATACAGATCTACTACGTAAAGCAGATAACAGAGTCAGTCAGTAACAACGTAGAACTTCGTACGTACGTATATCAGTTCGAGTTGCCATACCACATTAGCACAGAGATGCAGTGGTCGATTTAAATCCCGTAGTGGTAGAGGTAGTACGAGTATAAGTAGTAATCGGAAAGACTAGGGTTTGGAGATGTTATTTAAAGAGTGTAATCCAGTGAAATAAATCTGGGAAGAGAAAGAAAAAGAGATTAAAATTTGGGAGAACACAAAGAGTGTATGCACCTGCGCCATTGCAAACGATTTTGAGCCATGTCATTCAGGGTCTCTAACCATTGGTTGCTATCATCTCGTGGTCCCCAACCACGTAGTCTACACCTACTAACATGACTCAATCCACTTATCAGTGACATGTGCCATGTTTTGGTCTGGCCGCCCCTAGATTTCTTCCAACCTACTTCTAACACCACAAAACATCGCACATCGAGGCAGTCGGTGGTTGGGCATACGTAACACGTGTCCCGGCCATCTCAACTGATGAAGTTTCACTACGTCATCAATTGATTTGCCATCTTTATCTAGTACCCGTTTCCAAACAACTGTATTACTTACTCGATGGTCTTAGGATATACGAACAATATTTCGAAGACACCCATGATCAAATACTAGTAACCTACGAACATCCTCTACTATTACCGGCCATGTTTCATTGCCATAAAGTAGGACGGAACGAAGTGCTGCGCAGTAAACACGTCCTATGACTGACAGACGGATATCTCGTCTACGCCATAAATGACGCGAGTTGGTAAAAGCTAGTCGAGCCTTCTGTATCCGTGCTGAGACTTCGTCAAACACCAGACCACGAGGGCTGATGAGACTTCCAAGATAAGTGAAGCGTTCGACATGCTCAACTACTTCACTCCCTATCATTAGTTCGGGTGTCGATGCAACCCAATCCCGAAGTAACATTTTGCATTTCGAGGGGGAGAATCGCATCCCGAACATGCATTGTTGCTTAGAGTGGTCATGAGACTCTGCATTTTGTCAGCGTCTTCACCAAATAGAACTATATCATCGGCATATTCTAGGTCAGAAAGTGAATCTCCCTGTAGAAGTTCAGCCCCTGGAAATCTAGACGAGGAGAGTGTTATCTCTAAAAGTACGTCCACCACAAAGTTGAACAAGAATGGGGGGAGTGGACAGCCCTGACGAACACCACTTGAGGTAATCAATTCTGATGACAGTTCACCATAAGCTCTCACTCTACCAGTTGTGTTCGAGTAGAGAGCCTTTATAAGATTAATGTACTTCTTTGGTACTCCTTTCAGTGACAAACACTGCCATAGAACCTCACGATCAACAGAGTCAAATGCCGCCGAGAAATACTACCATTGTGGGGCGTCTGAATATGTGTCTATGTTCTAGGACCTGACGTAGTGTGAATATCTGGTCTATACAACCACGTTCAAGTCGAAAACCAGCCTGATTTTCTCTAGTCTGCTCTTCACGAGCTTTGGTTAGGCGTCGAAGTATTATTGAAGCTAATATTTTAGACACTATATTAGTCAAACTGATTCCTCTGTGATTGTCACAAGAGGACTTTTTTCCTTTTTATAGACTGGCACAATCAGTGATTGAGACCAGTCAGACGGGATTACGTCCAGTTCCCAAATTCTACCTAAGACCTCGGTTAATCTCATTGCTAATACTGGACCACCATCCTTAAAAATCTCAGGAGTAAACCTGTCAGGGGCTGCTGCTATCCCTCGCTTCAGATTTCCTACAGCTCTTTCAAATTCATAAAGAGTCGGAGGATCTAAATTAACTTGCCATTCAGGTCGACTGGAGATCGTGGGAAACCGAAGTGTGGCTGGAGGCTAGTTGAACTGATCCCTAAAGTGTTCTGCCTATCGATCCATCTCCTGGATTAAGAATGAATAATATGTCCATCTTTCTCTGAGATTGTTTCGCTAACAGTCGGGTTTCTTAACGAGTCTGAACAATTGTCTGCTATTACCTATTGCCGCTGCCTTTTCCATCTCTTACTTTCGTTACCCACCACTGTTCGCGATCATTGCGTAGGCTTCTTGTCAGGTTGCGCTTAAGCTCACTCCGCTCTTCGTTATATTGAGATCCAGATGGAATGAGTTTCCGAGCATCTATCAGTGCGGTAGATGTTGCTGAGATCCAGTGTTGCTCCCTAACCTTACGGTCTACCGTACTAGTCTGCTAGTTTCCACAGCTTTTCGGATATCATTGTATGCTGCCTCGGGGTGGGCATCACATACATGACTGCCTAGTTGTTCCTGAAATATACTCTTAGTTTGACTATCATTAAATAGGACCCTAAGAGGTTTCCTTGAATCGTCTTTCTTACGTCCAGTAAGACGCAGGCAAATACGCGCTCGCACTAGAGCATGATCTGAATCTAAGCATGTGCTCCAGAACGAGCGACAGTCTTCTATCGAGCCCCACCTTCGGTGGCTGATAGCAATGTGATCTATTTGGGTCCAACGTTGGGACGAATTAGGGGGTCGCCATTGTAAAAGATGTTTTTCCTTATGCTTAAAGTTAGTATTTGCAAGAAACAGGCGGTTATCTGAGCATAACTGTAACAGACGGTCGCCATTATCTGTTCTTTGAGCCACGACACTATAAGATCCACCCAGGTGTCTTTCCCTTTCGCTTAGTTTACCTACTTGAGCATTAAAGTCACTAGCCACTATGACTACATCAGAGCGCCTAGCTTTTCGGAGAAGGTCGGAAAGCTACCTACCTACGCCGGCGAGTCCACCAAAGGCAGCATCTCGGTTTGCAGATACACGAAGTGTGAATCGAGTTGGTTCTTTGTTTTGACATGGTGATGTCAAATGAATGACGCTACTTGAATCCTGAATGCGCGTTTCGGAGAAGCAGCACACATCGATGGCGCAAGATCCTTAAGTCCTAGCTAAGGAAGCTTTTCGTCCTATTTGGCACAGCGTTCGGACGTTATAAGCTTTAACATGAAGTTTGGAACGTGGTTTCAGGAGACCAGGAATAACGTTCCGCGTACTCGAATCGTTTGCCCTAGCGGTGCGGGGTGATAAAAGGACGTGAGAAGGGTTAGTCGGGAAGATAAGAATGGTATTAGAAGGTGTAGGAAGGATTTGAATGTGACCAACTTGGTCTCGTGTCACTCCCCGTCTGCCCATACTGTGGAAGGGTATTTCTTGAGGAACCTGAGAACGAAGTTAGGGTAATGTTGGCCTTAACGGCCTGGGAGCGTGACCGCAGAGCCCAGGGGACAACTGCTTTAGGCCGGTCGCGCACGGCCTTTTTGTGGGAGGTTTTTGAGTTGTGAGCTCCGTTCTTCAAAAGGTCTCACCGCTGGAGACGGAAATCCGTGAGGTAAGGTGAGGTGTGACATTTTTAGGGTCGACCTTTTCTAACCCCGCCCTTCCTTGTGAGAAGGCAGCATCGCTGTAGATGCTGGTTGTCCGAGGGAAACACCTCACTGCTGTCACACCCCTCTACAGTCAACAGTACGACTTTGCCCTCAGACCTTGAGTTGCTGCTTTTAGTCTTACCGTTCACCAATCGACCTGCCTGGCATGGTAGAACCTGCAGGAACATATGTTCCAGTCAATATAGCTCGGTTGGGTCATCACGATAGGTAAGCCTGACCACCGCGTCAAGGTAGCAGCTACGATCGGGAAAGCAGATAACAGAAAAGTAATCAGGCACATAATGTTGACATGTAGTATACAAATGATAATAGCCATTAGATAAAAATAGTCGGATCCATGTTATTTATTTGCCTATAGCACTTAACTGGCACTGTATACAGTTCAAGACTAGTGACACAACATGAAATGGAATGGAGGAAATGCTGAGCACAGTAGTAACCAAAAATAGAAATCCCGAGGCCATTGCATCGATTGTGATGATATCAATAGTTTTACTGAATTTATGTTTTGAATCAGTTAATACTTGGATCCATCATAACCTACATATACATTACTAAACAAGTTATTATGCGCCGAGAAGCAAATAGCGATGCTGTATAAACAATTCTTAAAAACTAGTTTCTATTTATCTACTCACTATTAACGCTAGGAAATCGTGCTTCAAAGGGAAGATCTTACAGCTAATAAGTTACGTCCACGACTGATTATACTTTACGCGACTAGTTGATACAATTATCTGTCAACCGACCACAAATCATTTGGTTTAATGAAGTTTACTGAGTTATAACTAATAAATGAGAATACGGAGTTCATCAGAATTATGTGATATATTTGCGCAATACATTCCGAACAATCTGATCACATATACTTGTTAAGAACATTTATATATAAAAATTAAAAGGTCAACTAGACAGGTTAAAGGTAAGCCGTAACAAATAAAAAATAAATAATATTAAAGTACACAAAAACAAATGTGATGACCACTCTGGATAATAAATCAGTATTACCAGGGTAGGTTACGCGTAAGGACAAATTGATTTTGAACACATAAAGAGGGTTTCAGTTTCCGTAAAGCCAAGGCTTCAATGAACCTTAGTATACTTCCTTGAAGGCTTTTGTATAACACTACAAATGCTGATTTGATGTCAACCTTATGACCAGTCTCAATCAAATGTTTCGCAATGGAGGATTATGTCTGTCTATCCTGTGATCTTATTTGACCATTGGGATCCATTTGTTTCAGCAACCATTTTGGTATGTGTTCGCCCATCCTTAGTTGCAAATCACGATTGCTCCTCCCTATGTACGTGTTTCCGTGCTGTTTGGGCCTTTGGTGAAACATAGACCTTGTCTTTCCGATAATGACAAGTTGAGCTGCATGAAATGTCCGGCTGATAGCTAATTTAAGTTTCCGTTTCAACATGAGACGTAAATAGGTCTGCAATTTATTATATACTCACAGTCTCTAATCCTAGTATTAACCAGGTTAATACTTAATAACAACTAATACTCAGATATTATATTTAATTTAACGAGCACTGTGCTCACTTATTTTCATATCATGTCCAATAACTCCAGTAAAAGAGGAATTTCACCAACTTCTAAGCCAAATAAAAGGTCCAAATCTGTAACCCCTACAACTGACGACTCAGTGCTTGACAATGTCGAACCTTTAACTACTGAAAAATATGTGTATTGTACACAAATGTCTCTATCGTCACCAGATTCTCCATGTCGCAGCCCCTCTATCTTTAGGTGCAGTATGCCAACGGTAAGACTGGTTGACATACAAGACACTATACCTACGTGCATTGAAAATTCAGCACAGTCTACTAGACAGTATGTGCTACCAAGGCCTAAGTCTAAAATTTCAAAAACTAAAGAGTCCAATGGTCCACTTCATACACACCAAAATACTGATAGATATAGTAATGACATCCGACAGCTACAAAACTCTCTATCCGAAATTAACGGCAAACTTGAGCAATTAGCATCCCTCACTCATATATGGAGCCTTGATACAGACAGAAATCTTGAGCAACTCACTAAAGCTGAGTCTATTTTGGAGTTTGTGGCTGAAGAAGTGACGAAGAGAGTAATATCCTCCTTCAATGCAGTTGTGTATAACCTCCCCGACCGCACACACCCATCTAAGTTAAGAGATATTTGCCTTAGAGCATGCGGTATGCCGAACGCTAACTGCAAAGTCATCCGCCTTAGAAAAAAGTCAGACAGATCAACTTGCCCCCTCTTGTTTATGTTTGGCTGTTGTAACGATGCTAAGCAGTTTATTGATTTGAGCAAAAACATTAGCTCACTAATTCCATACAAAAATATAAAAGTCACTCCAGACCTTACGCCCTGTCAACGTCGTGTAAGGAGACGCGAAGCGATAGAATTGAATGGGAGTGTTACAGTTAATAATCAGCCAGAGACAGTTTGCAACTCAGCAAATAGTTTAAAACACACGAACAATAAGCATGACACCACTCCACATACGGCTGATCACTCTGTTGATCTAGATGAGTCTACAGGTAAGAAACCTTTGGATAAAATACGGACCCCAACTGACACCAAAAACCATAACGACATGACTAATCCCAGCTGTTCATTCAGTAATGTACTAAAATGTGAGTCGTGTAACAACACACGTGCAACTAAACCTATACACTTGAAAATTTGTCCTCCTAAAGATATTCCACAAGTAGACTTGAATGAACGTAAGTTCATCTCACAAAGACAACGAAAGAATCCTGCTCTGAAAATAAAGGGTGGGAAGACAAAACTCATGATACCGAATAGGGAAACACGTAAGATTGAACCCAACTGCTCTATAGGTATCCCAAGAACAGTGAACAGGTTCTCCCCGCTGCTATCGTATAACTTGCCTTCAACACCTCCAAGTTGCAAAAAGGGTGGTGGGTTTCAACGTAGCAAGCCTTCTTACACGCAGACTAACGAAAACTACAAGAGAACTGGCCACTCAAACCAACCCCTGAAGCCAGTGGCCGTAGGTATGGTATGTGCTTTGCACCTTCGAAGTGCAAAGTACTTCTACAAGACTGGCAGGATTCCAATCCTGTACTCGCCCTGGATGGTGAGCAGATAGACGTAGTCGAGAAGTTCGTGTATCTGGGTAGCTGCATAAGTGCTGGTGGGGGTGTGAGTGATGAGATCAATGCACGTATAGTGAAAGCCAGAGCGGCTTATGCCAATCTGGGCCATCTATGGCGCCTTCGTGATTTTAGTCTGGTCGTAAAAGGTCGGATCTACAACGCGTCGGTGAGAGCAGTTTTGCTCTATGCTTGTGAAACCTGGTCTCTCCGAGTTGAGGACGTTAGACGACTCTCTGTGTTCGATCAACGTTGTCTCCGAAAGATTGCTGACATCCAGTGGCAACACCATGTCAGTAATGCAGAGGTTCGGCATCGTGTGTTCGGGCACAGAGATGATAATTCAATCGGTGTCACCATCTTGAAACACCGACTTCGGTGGCTTGGACATGTTCTCCGAATGTCGTCCCAGAGGATTCCACGTCGTGCATTATTTGCCGACTCTGGGACTGGTTGGAAGAAGCGGAGAGGTGGTCAGTGCATGACATGGTGTCGTGGCATGAAAGAAAGCTGTAAAGGACTGGCTTGTGTTGGTCCTTCACGACTCCCTGGTTGGGGTCTGAGAGATGGTGCTACACAGTGGCTAGAGACGTTATCAGATATGGCTCAGAATAGAAGCCAGTGGCGATCCTGCTGTAACCTTCTTTTACTTTCTTCATAAAAAGTGGTTCTGTCTCCCTTACCTGAAAGATTTCTTCCGATTGTACCTTTAGTTCCCTGATTACTAGCACATTACCTTACACCAATCTCTTCGTTATTGTTCTCTCTTTTTTTTGTTGCGCTCCTTAGCTTTTTTTTCTTTCTTTGTATTCCTCTCGAATTTTCATTGTTTTGTGTGGCGCATATATATTGGCGCTCTCTTGTACCAATATTCATGTGTCCAAATAAATAAATAAACACTCCCATTCAATTCTATCGCTTCGCGTCTTCTTACACGACGTTGACAGGGCGTAAGGTCTGGAGTGACTTTTATATTTTTGTATGGAATTAGTGAGCTAATGTTTTTGCTCAAATCAATAAACTGCTTAGCATCGTTACAACAGCCAAACATAAACAAGAGGGGGCAAGTTGATCTGTCTGACTTTTTTCTAAGGCGGATGACTTTGCAGTTAGCGTTCGGCATACCGCATGCTCTAAGGCAAATATCTCTTAACTTAGATGGGTGTGTGCGGTCGGGGAGGTTATACACAACTGCATTGAAGGAGGATATTACTCTCTTCGTCACTTCTTCAGCCACAAACTCCAAAATAGACTCAGCTTTAGTGAGTTGCTCAAGATTTCTGTCTGTATCAAGGCTCCATATATGAGTGAGGGATGCTAATTGCTCAAGTTTGCCGTTAATTTCGGATAGAGAGTTTTGTAGCTGTCGGATGTCATTACTATATCTATCAGTATTTTGGTGTGTATGAAGTGGACCATTGGACTCTTTAGTTTTTGAAATTTTAGACTTAGGCCTTGGTAGCACATACTGTCTAGTAGACTGTGCTGAATTTTCAATGCACGTAGGTATAGTGTCTTGTATGTCAACCAGTCTTACCGTTGGCATACTGCACCTAAAGATAGAGGGGCTGCGACATGGAGAATCTGGTGACGATAGAGACATTTGTGTACAATACACATATTTTTCAGTAGTTAAAGGTTCGACATTGTCAAGCACTGAGTCGTCAGTTGTAGGGGTTACAGATTTGGACCTTTTATTTGGCTTAGAAGTTGGTGAAATTCCTCTTTTACTGGAGTTATTGGACATGATATGAAAATAAGTGAGCACAGTGCTCGTTAAATTAAATATAATATCTGAGTATTAGTTGTTATTAAGTATTAACCTGGTTAATACTAGGATTAGAGACTGTGAGTATATAATAAATTGCAGACCTATTTACGTCTCATGTTGAAACGGAAACTTAAATTAGCTATCAGCCGGACATTTCATGCAGCTCAACTTGTCATTATCGGAAAGACAAGGTCTATGTTTCACCAAAGGCCCAAACAGCACGGAAACACGTACATAGGGAGGAGCAATCGTGATTTGCAACTAAGGATGGGCGAACACATACCAAAATGGTTGCTGAAACAAATGGATCCCAATGGTCAAATAAGATCACAGGATAGACAGACATAATCCTCCATTGCGAAACATTTGATTGAGACTGGTCATAAGGTTGACATCAAATCAGCATTTGTAGTGTTATACAAAAGCCTTCAAGGAAGTATACTAAGGTTCATTGAAGCCTTGGCTTTACGGAAACTGAAACCCTCTTTATGTGTTCAAAATCAATTTGTCCTTACGCGTAACCTACCCTGGTAATACTGATTTATTATCCAGAGTGGTCATCACATTTGTTTTTGTGTACTTTAATATTATTTATTTTTTATTTGTTACGGCTTACCTTTAACCTGTCTAGTTGACCTTTTAATTTTTATATATAAATGTTCTTAACAAGTATATGTGATCAGATTGTTCGGAATGTATTGCGCAAATATATCACATAATTCTGATAAACTTCGTTTAATAAATGGATACCGACAAATAGATTAAATCTCGTAGTTGTGCATATATTTTTATGGGAGTCTGGAATTCAATTCCCCAATTCAATTACCTAAACCAAATTAAGTACAAATTCACAAGATTGAAAAAAGAAAATCAAAATCACCATGATTGATAGTTCTTGAAACCAAACATTCATTAATCATATAAAAAGTAAATAGTTAGTGTAAGAATCAACTTACTGATGGACTTTCATAACCCCTTCCTACCATAAACAAGATGGACATAACATACCGTATTTGGTGATAAAGGAAACCCGAAGCCGATATGCTAATGCGACATAACTTGCAGTGACTAAAAAGTAGAATTTATCATTTATTTAATATTATTATTAAAGTAGAATTGAAAATATGTTAGTTGATATACAGGTACATGTATCGATATTGGACCATTTTGAGTATACTTTTAATGATACTACTAAATTACTACTCCAAAAGTTATTGAATTTTACGATAACAATCAGTTGGGAAGTGACGAAATCTAGATACATATACAAAATGTTTGGTATTTCGCAAAATTAAATTGCCTGTTACATAAAGGTGGGAACCCTCAGAAGCTAAGAATATTTCACGGGAGTTCGGTTTATATTTGAGGACGAATGAAACTTAGACTTCGGAAGTGTAAATGAAAAGGTTGTGATCATTTTATCATAAATCTCTTCATGATATTGTTTTGGCGCTAAAATCACTAAGTGGACTGTGTTAGCTGTATTTACAGATAGTAGTAAATGACGTTAAATTAACTGCAAACCATGAAAGACTAAAATGCTTAAGGGATATGTCACTCATGAAGAACGACTAAATAAATCAGAATAGTACTGGTTGTTTACTTTTTCCTTACTTGTAAGTCCAAACAAATTGGAACAACCAAGCTCCAAGAAACAAGCGATACAAAACCACAGAATCGAATAAAATATTCAATTCACATATTGGACATGAACACTAAAACTAGTTTGCTATTTATAGATTTTTTTAAAAACTGAATTCTATTTCAACATTTCGCATAAGGTAGGTGGCGGCTAGACATACACAACACATCTCAACTACTTCAGTATACAGCTGTTTACATCTCCATCCATCACTTCTGACTTCTGCCAAGTGCTATGTGGGAGCATAGCAATAACACAATTTAACCAATAAAAGGCGGATTATAGCCCAAAATAATTTCTATGAAGTTGGCGTATCAAGACTTTCAGTACAAACTAATTTCTCAAGCGCATGCGGTGACTATTAAAAACTACTTCAACTTTGCCACAAACTAAAGCAATGAGAAGAAATAAACGACGTTCATTGATTGGACAAAATTAAAGCATCATGTTGTAATACTACTGAATCGAGTTACTAAAAAGATTGGGAAAGCAACCGGAGAATCTGAAACTTACTGATCACACGAGTCTACATCGCTTATAACCACTTCGAAAATTTCACGTATGAAAGTTACAGTATCTTTTTCGATTCGGGAAGTACAGAAGTTCCTGAAATCATGTACTCCGACGAGCCGATTACCCGCGTCCATCATTGACTTTAAACAAATATATGACGGTATAAAACCACTTACTTTAGTATCTAGACCGCTTTCAGGGAAATAATATTCGTAAGACCTTTTGCAACACATAAACCTACAAGATTAATTTGAGGAATAACCAGTTTACCTTGCGCTAAAGTCTGGTGAGACGGGAGACCAGGCTAAGACTCGGATGTCGCGTGGTAGATTTCTGTTCAATGCAGAAACGTAGTCCATTTCTTTGTCAGGAACATCTACAGAAGCATATACTATGTCGTCAAACTATCTAACCCTGACGCTCAGAGATACGAGAACCAGAATCTTCAATAATTCCGACCCCTCTATCTATTAGTGAACGCGAAACAAGAGAAACAACCTGAACGGCAGTAATATAAATACTGATTATTGCTGAATTACTTGGCACAGCCCACTAACTCCTCTGTCAGTTCGTCCACAAACTGAAAAATTGCACTCGTTTCTGTTGAAATGAAATAAAATTAAACGTGCCTATTTTCAATGAGTTTGGATTTTTCCAGTGCGTCGAAAACGCGGTCCATGACGGTTAGTGCGAGACAACCTTGAGGAGCCAATCCACCGTAATTCCAGCCTAAATATGATACTTTTAGCGCAATATGGCGCTTCTTATACCTACCAAATGATTGAGACGGAAAACTGACCTGTCAAAAATGAAAGGTTTGGTGACTTTCGGGACATCATTTTCTTGTTTTTGAAGCTTTGATATAATATTTTCTAACTGTTGATTATATTTTAGTAAGCAAATAGCTTTTTCCTTTAAAGCCTTCAAATCCTACATAGTGAAAACGTCGAATATTTACTTCGAAATCAAGTTCGTCAAGCGATTTCAGTTTGCACTCCAACTGTCTTATCCCTGAGAACATCCCACTCATAATTCGCATCCCCAAATATGCGCTTATTCAGATGACCCTGGTCACAATACAACTAAACAATGACACACAACTTCAAATTCGCTGAGCATAAGTAAGCAGTCGATGAATCCTTGTGATCGGTGTTCAAATTGTTTTTTATATACAGGAGGTTTCACATCAGATTGAGCTACTTAAAAAGGATAGTGGTAGTTTTTCTCTCAGCTATAATTCGAGCGCGTTTCAAAAAGGGCAATGATTTTGTACTTGTTGTGACAATCCTTGTTTTTTTGTAATTATTGCATCAAAAGCATTCTTGTCCTAAATAAAAGTACTTTGTTTAAGATTTGAAATCTTGCTAAAGTTTGTTTTGTGGTACCCTTTTACTCGTTGACTGACACTGTTCATACTGTGATCATATTGTTTTACACCTTAATCTGACTAGAATGGTTGGTAGTACTCACAAATGTGGACAACCAAACTGTTTGTCCTCTGTGGAGGGATGAATGCAGTGTGATGAATGCAAAAAGTGGTTTCATAAGATGTGCACCCGTTTGAGTCCCACCGCATACAAAAGCCTAACTCCCATTGGCTTTGCATGTTTTGCTGTGCAAATAAGACGTTACTAATACAGGAAGCTATGAGCCTATTAGCTTTGGCCTGTAAGAAGGACGATGGCTCATGCGCTGATAACACGACCACTGACAGTGATGAATGTGTCAGTGTAGTTCCTGCTGTTACGAGACGCCTTAAACAACCAACTTTGACTGACGGAAAAGTGAAATCCCCGTTAACTTTAACGAGGGAGGCGGTAATATCACCTGACACTGACACCGGTAACCATGCACCTCTAGTGGAAACTGAAGATCTGGATAAAACCATCACTGTTCCAAATAGTCCCAGTGTCCTGAGGGATGAGAAATGGACTACAGTACGGAGAAAACGAAACGAAAAGAAAAAAGCTGTAGGCAGTAAGCAGCTGGTTAGTAAGCTATTTGTGGACTCCCATTGTGGGCCACAAGAGGCACTGCCGAAGTTTGATAGTAAGAGAGAATTCCACCCTGGCATGACTGAGAAGGAGAATCTAGTGTCATCGAATATCATTGTGAGCAAATTGCTGGAGTCAAACGACCCTGGTCCCAAAATTAGACACACGCATGATTTAGAGAAGCTGGGAGAATATTTCATGAATATGGAAAATAAAGCCCTACATAGTAAACGCCCAGAATTATCAATACTACGGTTTTTTAAATCCCGTGTGAAGTCAAATTCCTTTGGCATGACTAAATTCTTCATAGTTAACGAAAGCGTTGTTGACGACCCTAATAGTATTTGCGAACACTTCAGCAAGCAATTCCCGCAATGCTACAAAACTGGAAGTGAAAGCTCTATCATTACACTCTCAATGCTGATTTCCAGACACCTATCGAAAATTGATTTTATACCCTCCAAAATCAAACAGATCATAGCTGCCCTGAAAAAGTCTTATGATGGTGGACTCGATGGGATCCCTTCATCGTTTGTGAGGTTTGGTAGTAGAGAATCCCCACTATTTTGTTTGAAACTTTTAAACCCATCTATGGATCGAATCGAAATTATTATTATTATACAAAAAATGTGCCTTACCCATTCCTGAATATAGTATTTTAGTTTTCAATAATTGCAGGCATAATGACCTGATTAAAATTGGAAGTGTTCATAGAAGGTTAACTAACACTGTTCTGGGCTATTTCGACAACAAAGACTATCACCAAAGATGTCAGCAACGCAAATTAGAACCTCTCTGGATCAGTTATATCAAATTAAACCTTGTCTTTATCTACCGGTTTATTAACGGTATTCCCTACTCTTCGTTATCCACCCCTTAATACTCTATGATATCATACCACAATCTACGTAATAAGGAAAATATTCTAGTGATTCTAAGAACCCACACAAACTTACGCCAGAATTTTTTCATTATTCGCTACTCAACCATGTGGAACAGACTGCCAGTGAACCTCCATTGCAATGTAACTACAACCCGTATCGGGAATCTCCCTGATGATTTTCTTTCCGAAAGTGGATTGTGTCACCTATTGAATGTCAATGTATTTAATAATGATTTATACAAACAAGGTCCGTCATCCATCTAATTGAACGAAAAGCAAAATGTAACCTTTGAAACTTTTGAAGTCTATTTTACTTTATTTTCTTTCTGTCCATCTTAATATATGAGGTCTGCTTATGTTTGTATCTATAATTATTACTGTTATTAATATCATTATTGGTCCCCCGACACATAAGATATTCTTTTTATTTCTTCTTATCCTTCGAAACATATTTAATTCCTGATTGTCTCTTGAAATTAGTTGTGACTTTCATAGCATCATTCTTAATTATTATTGTACAAATGCTTGTATTAATATCCGATATCACTCTGTGTATTATTGCATAAATCTACATGTATTTATTGGAGTGCGCTTAAGGATTTATTCTATTTTTCTAAATTGTTGGTATACTTCAGAGGTCAATATTCATTACACAATTATTATTATCATGGTTGAACCTTTTCACTAGGTGTCCACTTCTTTCCTTTTTTTTCCTTCTAAATAAATATTATTCTTAAGATTACGAAGTTTATGATTAAGACAATAACTTGTGTTACATTTAAATTAAATTATCAGACTCATTTTATCCTCACTATGAAAATATTGATATTTCGTTATCATTTTCACTTAATTGAGACTTTCATAGCATCACTCCAAACTATGACTGCACAAACACTTATTCTAGCGTCATATCTTACTGCAATAATAAGTTATTTCTTCTTAATTATTTTCTATTTTATTTTTGTTACTAATTTGACAATACATACATAGTCGTTTATTCTTGTTCTGTGTTCATAAACACGCTTATTAAACTAATTGCGTATTTCACATCCCCTTTATTTCTATTCCCTTATTTTCTTCCTTTCCTTCTTTAAACTCAATTCAATATTCTTCTCAACTACACAGAACCTGATTTGTTATTATTATTCTATCATTATTACGCACTTTTTTCAAATATGGCAAAAATAATGCTAACATTATTGAAACTTGTGTATTATTGCGTTTTTGAAGAAACCCGAAATGGTTTCTTCACAACACTTATATACCCATAAGATGTCTGTGAATAATAATAATAATATTCGTAGTATCTAACCAGATAACTTTAGAGGAGTTCAGGTCAAAAAACTGGTCAGAATGGATAAAAAGACCGAGTACAAGGTTGAACCCCGACCACGTAGACTCCTTAAGGTATTACTAGGGTCGGAGAAGCAACGTGATCTCCTGTTAAGTAGCGCTCGTAGTCACGACAATTCCGACATCCTGAGTTAGACCTGATATGTCTCTTGAAGATAAAATAAAAAGGAAAAAGGCACTAGCTGAACTAGAAACCCGTCGACAAAACGGTGAGGAAAATCTCCGATTAGTGGGTTTTCGGATAGTCAGGTCTTGGAAGCGAATGCTACCAAGGCCTGTGTGAATAGGCTGTTCCGCCCAGGAGTTTTATAAGTTAACGCTCGTAGTCTCAGAAATAAGTTCTATGAACTAGAAGTACCAGCGGACAAATTAAGGCCACTCATTGTAGCAGTGACAGAAACTTGGTTAGTCCATGACTTAGACATTAGTCCAGAATTATCCGGACAACTCTACCTGAGGGGTGATAGACATAGATGTAGAAAAGGAGCTGGCGTCCTTTTATATATAACCAATGATATAAACATTCGCTCCTCTGCTAGCGAATCCCATGATGGCGGTACTTGTGAAGTCATTAGCTGTGAATTCGCTACCGGACATGGAACATTTATGCTGTGTCATCTATAGCAGCCCAATCTGCTTAGCTGACGACTTTATCTTAGGGCACATTCATCTTTGGAGTGCAAATAACAGATGCTTGATAATAGGGGACTTTAATGCACATGATATTAGTTGGACTGAAATGACCATGAAAGTATCTATAAACGTCTTTGATAGTAGGTTCCTGATAACAATAACGGAGCATGAATTAGTGCAGCATGTATCCAAATCCACACGTTTTGGTGCTAACCAAGGTTCTTCTTTGTTGGACTTGATAATCACTCATGATGATGAGGATATTGTCGACCTAAATATTATTACGCACGCTTTTCGAACGGAAAGTTTAGTCCTAACGTGATTTGCATTTATCAAACTTTTGCTGTGTTCTTACGCAACAAAAGTACCATTTCAGTTCCAAAGAATCTATCCTGAGCTATACGTTCGGTAGATTACTTTTTTTGAGTTTCACCATATTTAATAGTTACCTGTGGTTTTGCCTCAGCTTACTATTTGCTTTTTTTTGTTTTTCACGTATAGACTAGTTTCAGTTTATATCACTCGTCTTATCCATTTTTGTCCGTTTTCAGTGTGCTTTTTAGTGTTTTTTGAAGATCTTAGGCTTTGCAAGCATCTAGAACATAGTTTGCTTCAACACAGTCATGAAAAACTCATGCAAACGTCCGGGATGCCGTTTTACTATCACAACTGGCATGCAGTGCGACAACTGCAAAGGTTGGTTCCACGAAGCATGCACAAATCGGACAGCAACTGCTTACAACAGACTCAGCAAGTCAGACCAAAAGTGGGTATGTGTCACGTGCAGCACGGACGCAGAAGTCTTGCTGAGAAACATCATTGTAATAATGACAGGTCTTCGGAACAAGTTGTCAGTTAACTCGGATAACGATAGAAAAAAACCGGTAGACAAACAAGAGCGTGCGACGGATACAAAAATAGGTATGTCGACAGGTATAATGTAACAGCATAGGTTGATTGGTTCAGAGTTGACCCCAAACAACCAAGCATATGCCAAAACAGTATTGTTCAAGTATTCATTCACTTCCTTGTTTTGTATGAGCGTTATATTCCCTATCATCTTATATTGACTGTTGAGAGCCTTTGTTTGTCTGAACATATAATCCCATGCTCCACTGTCACCGCGCTAGGATCGAAATAAAGACCTATTCACTACTTGTCTGGTTTCTTCTATCAAAAGCACGAGGGTTACTTTAAGGCACGAAATTGGTGAGC